CTGACATCCGAATTTATATGTTCTTTTAACAGTTTTATTAGTGACACTTCAAAACTGTATCATATCCGTGTCCGTATTCGGAGTCATCATCTTCTTCAACGGCTGTCTTTGCTACATATACAATGGTTCCGATTCCGCGATACGACAGAATGAGGCTACAGCAGCCGCAACAGTAACGCAGCAACCAAGAGGGACTATGGCCAGGATGGGTCTTGACCAGTCTACAATAGACTCATACAAGAAAATGGAGTTGGGAGAGAGTAAATGGCTTCCAGGGACTAATGGTATTGTATGTCCGATTTGTTTATCAGAGTATGCGAGCAAAGAGACCATAAGACTCATACCGGAATGTAACCATTGCTTCCATGTCGAATGTATTGATGTGTGGCTCAAGATTCATGGTTCATGCCCTCTTTGTCGAAAAACACACGCCTAAAGAAGTAGTTACAATATGAAGTACTTCAACGTTGTACATTGTGATGAATTCGACTAATTATTGTTGTTCTTGATGTGAGTATGTAAATAAATCTTCACTTCGTTTTATGGACTATTGGTTCAAGCAAAGGTAAGGAAGAGGAAGTTATAAAGTGTTTCAATAACTTGTTGAAATGAAGAAGCTGAGGACAATGCAACCTAGTAAAAAAAACTCTTGGATCGGTTTTACGAGGCGATCCCAGACTTTCGAAGCTAGAGTAGGAGTTATATATTACCAGAGATCAGAAGATTACAGAAGAAACATTAGCTCGAACTCAGCATAACATTTCTTTTATAATGTATGAAACCTACCTTGTGCCATTAGAAAGAGAGACACAAGTGTACTTAGTGAAGCTAATTTTCTCAATAATTTTCAATTCTCAACTAATTTACCCCATCAAGTAGGGCTGGGACGGATCCGGATTTCAAATATCCGACCAAAAATCAGGATATCCGGATCCGGAAAATGATTTAAATAATTTAAAAAATATATAAAGAAACAATTTTTAAAATTTATTAATTAAAATTTGCATGATATTTTTAGAAATAAATATTATATATATTATAAAAAGGACTAAATTCAATTTATATATATATTTTAGATAAAAATAGCTTAATATATGTAAAAGATATATATTTTTGATATATTTAATGCGTCCGGATCCGGATATCCGACCTTAAAATTTTACTATCCGGATACTCTTTTCACAGATCCTAGATTTTACTATCCTTATCCGAATCCGGACTTCCCGGATATCCTAATTTTCGGAGCGGATCCGAACCGATACTGGATCTTGGATCTAATTACGGATAATAATTCCACCCCTACCATCAAGTGTGCTGCTAATGACATTCTTTGAATCTAATTGCTTCATGATTGTACCTGTTTGCCTCTAATATTAGTATCTAAACATTGTCTAATTAGCTTGATTATCAAAGATTGAAGTTTTAACAAGCAGATTTGATTCAAAGATCTACAATGTAATACCTTAATGAAACATAATTATTATCAACCACGCGAGTTTATCTGCTAATCAAATTATAAAAATCCGTTCAACATTTCGAAGAAATCAATACAAGAAGAACAAGTTTTTTTTTGTTTTTGAGGTCCTTAAGAAAAAAAATTAATTANACAGAGATTAATTAGCATTTAAACAACCTGGAAATGAAGAAATAAATATTCG